TCTTCCCAAGAAAGCAGGTATGCATATGTTTTTATATTGTGACTTTTAATTGCATAAGAGTAATTAACAGATTATTTTATTTTAGATATTTGGTATGTTTAATGTTAAATTGATTGGTTTTTCCTTAAAAACTAACTAATTCAAACAAGTTTAATTTTTAAAAAAATTCAATTTAGATTAACATTTTTTTTTTCATTTTTTCACATATACTTCCTTCAAATCAGAACTACGACAAAGAATTACTAGGCAGTAATTATGATTATCTATTTTATTGTATTGCTTTAGTTCTTGTCTACTTAAAATGAAATTTGCTAATACCGGTCAATTTGTAATAACCATTCAATATTCATAAATAACTAAATACATGCAGCAATCTTTAAGGAAATCATTCCCATAGGAAATTCCTTCCTAAAACTTATATAAAGAAGTATCAAGCTTTATGCATTTCAATATCAAACTATTAATTAATGAAATTCATCAAAGTTAATTTGGTGATTGATATGAAATGCAAAGAACCTATTGCCAGATTCTTCAGACAACGGTTCTTTCACGCACCTAAAGTGAAGACAAAATGTAAATTCATGTCAGTTCTTGCTTGTTGAACAACTTTTCTTCAAACCATTGAAGTCAAACTTTCATTTTCCACCTGGCACTTGATGTTGAATCAACTTCTTAACATATAGTTAAATCCAAAAAAAATGTGCATCTATCATCTTACATAGTACTAATCTTAAGACTGCATGAATAGGTCTGCTTCGTTGCGGGAAGAGCTGCAGACTTAGATGGATGAACTATCTCCGACCTGATATCAAGAGAGGAAACATTGGTCCGGAAGAAGAAGATCTCATAATTCGTCTTCATTGTCTCCTCGGAAACCGTTGGTCCCTCATCGCAGGACGCCTCCCCGGTCGCACAGATAATGAAATCAAGAACTACTGGAATAGCCACCTCAGTAAGAAACTCAAGAAGCAAGGCTTCATCATAAGAGAATGTACACCAAGACCTAAACGATCAGGTGCACCTAGCTATCATAAGAAAATAAAGTGCACCAACAACAAATTTGCTGAGAACATACAAAACAATGATGCGGATGAATGTAACAAAATATATGCACCCAAGCCTACAAGGCTTAAGCCGTGCTGGTCAGTGATGGAGAAAAGTGAGAGCACGATAGGAGAGTGTAAGAAGGGAACATCAGATGCGAGCAGTGGAACTAATGATGTGGATTGGGCATCATGGACGCATGAAGATCATGTAGAGGAATTTGATCAAACGGCTGGTTTGTTTGAAGGTCCTTATTTGGATTTTGCTTCTGATTTTTCCATGCCAAATATTGAATCACTTGATAGATTATTTAATGAGTACTCACAGCTCCTGCAGTTGGAGGTTGATGTGTAGATGAGACACAATTGCGATAATCTATATGGCTGTGTTTAGTGTATGCAAGCATCTATTTGATGATTTCCAGCGTTAAATGTTCATGTGACTGAAAAATGTACTCAATATTGATCAAACTATTACGATGTTAAATATAACTGGTAAATGGAAATATATGAGGATTTTAAGAGTGGAGTATGTATAGTTTCGCTAAGTTAATTTTATACGATAAAAAGACCCTTTTGTGTTTAAATAAATCTTATTAGATGACAAAATTAAAATTTTCTGGGCGTCATATCAAATGTGAGAACTCTCTCTCTCTCTCTCTCTCTCTCTCTCAGTGTGTGTGTGCGCGCACGCGCGTGCGTTTGTGTGATTGTGTGTGCGCGCATGCCGCAAGTCGTGTCCTGTTGATTGGCGGGGGTCACTATAAGTCTCCTCAGGTCACGGGTTCGATCTTCAGTGACGCTGGGTTCTCAAATATTAATGCACATGATGCGGGCTCTCATCATGGAGCATTGCCCATGAAATATTGGTATTTGGGTTTTTGCCAAATACCGATTTACTTTTATATATATATATATTCGGTATTTGGATTTCTGTCAAATACCGATTTCCCTATATATATTCCAAAAATAATAAAACACAGTCAAAGGTCACTGCTACATACTTGAGCCAGAAAGACAAACTAAATGAAAATTGTTAAGATTCTCTATTTCCATGCATTACCACTCTGTTTCGTGCCAGATTTATTGTCTTATGGATTTGGCGAACACATTAAAATCAACAAAAAGAAAAAGAAAAAGAAAAAAGCTATTTTTGTAAGAGATTGTAGCCGACCCCGCTTAATGGGATAAAGGTTTTGTTGTTGTTATTGTTGAAAGAGATCGGTACCATGCAAAATTCTGGATATAGCACTCTGGCTAAAAATATTTTAAAAATAGTCAAAATCCCTGTTAGCAAAATATATCTCACCGATAATGAGTATCCTGGAAGTTATACTTGATAGCAGCATCATTTTCCATCTCAATATAGACATTACATAAGCCCACCATATATTAAAATAATGAATGCTCATACAAGGAACCATGCGAACTGCTTGCATAGTGAAAACATTACCAAGAAAAATGTTGAATGAGCGTGTCACCATCAGCTTCTCTACCAGATCTTCTTGAGTAGTAAGGGCCTCTTTGGCGCAGTTTTATCTCTGCGGCGTAGCTCGCTGCAGCAATTCGCGTTGTTTGGTTGGGGCGGTGCGGGCGCATTTAATTAAACATGCCTGATAAGCCTCACCGTGCACCCGGCTCTGCACCCGACTCTGCTTTTTCTGCATTACTTGGCAGCTTTACCCCTGTGCTGTCCCTCCCGCTCGGCCTCATCCCACAAGCACTCAGTCTATGATTTTTGCCGGCTTTTGCTTCCTCCAGTATCCTCTCTCATATTTTTTTTCGTGGAATAGCTCTATTAGTCGTATGATTTGCACGGAGAATTTTTTATATATATATTTTTACATACATAGCACCGGTGAAGATCCTTTTTTCTCTATTTTCAGTGGCCGCAACCCCATTTTTTCTTTGTGCTTAATGATTTCAGCTGGTTTCGGTATGATCGGTTTGTGGTCTTTGGTTGATACATACGTAGCATCGGTTCTACTATGTTAGTTTTTATTTTATTGGTATATACCTATCACCTCAAAGGTTTTTGACATTTTTGTTCCTTCTTCCTCCTTTGTTTTGTGATATTTGAATGTGATTTTGAAAAATGCATGCAATTTGGTGTTGGAGGTCTGAACAGTAATCTTACAGCTGCTTTATATTTTATTAATATGGATTGAAATTTGATCAAAGCTTTTGAAATTTGAGTGGGACGTTGAGAAATGGTTGATAGCTACTTTTGTGTTTATAAACTTCAATGTTTTAGGTGTTGTGTATATTGTGAATATGGATTGAGAATTTATCATGAATTTTAATTTTTGAGTGAAAATTTGAAGAGTGCTTGCAGGATGGTTTAGCATTTGTTAACATCAATGTTTTAGGTGCAGTGCATATCACGAATATGGATCGGGAATTTATCATAAATTTCAATTTTTTAGTAAGAATTTGAAAAATGGTTCAAGGTGGTTTAGCATTTGTTAACAATATTGTTTCGGGTGCTAATGTTTATTTTATTTTCATGTAAGAATGGAAGAGGGTTGGTATAATTCATAACTTTGGGTTTTGTGCATATTTTGTTGTATGTTGTTGTGGAATAACAATGATTTGCCCTTTGATTTCATGAATGAATAAAAGTATATTTAGCGGTTTATATTTCATGGTTATTGGACTCCATAATTAAGAAGCTCATGTGACATGGTGAGCTCTCTCTTATTTGTATTTTGATTTTAGTGTTTCTCATGGGCTTTCAAAATCTAATCCCACTCTTTGGTTGGTGTGGAGTTGGTGGAGTGATGTGGAGTTGTTTCGTGTGGGGGTGGTGGTATGGTGTCTGGATGTGACATATAGTATTGTGGTGTGTTGTGTGGAGGTGTTGTTGTGTGGTGTGGAGGCGGTTTTGTGTGTTGTGGGGATGGTGGTTTGGTGTATGGATGTGATGAGGAGGTGATGGTGTGTGCAGTGGGGGTGGTAGTTTGGTGTATGGATATGGTGTGGAGGTGGTAGTGTGTAGTGTGAGGGTGGTAATGTGTGTTGTGTAGAGGTGGTATTGATGACTAAAATATGACAATCTTATTTTTGTTTGAGTTGTGGTAATTATTTTTGTTGTTTGACTCTTCATATGCTAGTAACGAAATGGTTAAGACAAAAGAACTTGGTTCATATACTCTGTAGGATAAAGAAGTCAAACTAATATTTTGCTATCTCTCGCTTAAGGGGGTGAAACTAGGAAATTGACCCACAACCTATTTTAACAAGAAGAAATGGAAAAGGGAAAAATATTATGAAAATGTTCAAGGAAACTGTGGAAAGAGAATACAATATAATGCAATTAAAAAATAAGCAGGATCAATTAAAAAAAGACTGAAAATTTTGGAAGGAATTAAAATGAAGATCAACGGGCTTGTGTTGGGATCCAATAAAGTGGACAATAAATACTTCGGAAGAAAGATGGGCTGAAAGATTGGAGGTGAAGATAGATCAAACCTACATAATATGATTTTTTTTCCTGAAATATATTAACATATCCATATCCCTTTATTTTGTAGGTGGTGTCAACTGCAAAAAAATTCAAATTCAATTGTGTTGACCTCGAGCTGGAAGAAAAGTTGGACCTTATGTTTGATGGAGTCGTGGCAACAAAGAATAATGCATGAACCCCTAGTGAGCAAAAGTTTGCAGGCATAGTTGAGAGCTTGGATGCCAAACAAACAATTAACTCTCACGAAGGCCCTAGCTCGAACTAAAGAAGTTGATCCACTAGTATGACAAAGCGTTTGAGGGACATCACATGCCAAATTTTTACAACTGGTAGTTTCATGCACCAATGACCCTGGGACATCACATGTAACTTCCATCCAGCACATTATGTGAATTCTGGAGCTGCCTCTGTATTTTGTCTATAAAAAATTAATTTCTTTTGCTAATTTTTTTAAAAGTTTAGGGGTCATCTGATGTCAGAAGAGCTTTAACATATGCAAATTTAGTAAATCTTGCAAATTCAGATTTAACAAATACTACAGGTCCTATAAATCATAAAAATCCTATTAAATTCTAAAAAAACTGATTGATAACCTCTATCAGGATTTAAATAAAAGTTCAATCAAATTTTTGAAAAAAAAATTAATTATTAAACTTAATTAAAATGATATTATATTTATCTCGTAATTTGGCTTATTAATAATTAATTATAAACCAAAAAATAATTATTAATAAAAATTTATTAAACTAATTATCTGTTAGGAAATAATTTAAAATTTCTAAATTAATAACTAATTAGTGATTAATTTTATGAATAATTAATTAATTATAATTTTTATTAAATAATAAAAATTTAATATGCTTTTTTTTTAATTAACTATTAAATAATTGTGTATGCATTTATCTAACTATAAGTAATCTAATAATATATTAATTAATTTTTAATTATTGATTGATTAAATTAATAAAAATAACCTAAAATAAAGCCCACCGAAACTCTTAATTCAAATACCTCTGAAACTCTCGCTTTGCCTTCTCTTGGTCCTCTTTGCCCGAAATCCTCAACGATGCCCAATGTTTTGAAAATTTGACCGAACTGAGTTGCACCGACAGTTCAACCTTTATTTTGCATCAAATCGTGTAAAATTGAGTTGAACCGGCAGTTCAACCTTTAAATTGGTGAACCGAAGTTGGTTCTTAACAACAACATAAAATACGCAAAAAAAAAAAATGAATAGTAAACATTTCAGGTATTATTTTAATCCTGCCATAACCGTCTCAATTGCTCATTTTCTGCAAAAATTTTTTTTTGCGGACTCTTGACATAGCTCTACGTGCGGCGTAGGGTATTCCTGAGTTATTTTCAGATTATTTCTGGGGAAATAACCCGCGGTCTTTATTTTTGAGTTATTTCTGGGTTATTTCGAGATTATTGAAAATAACCCAAAAATAACCTAAAAATAACTCAGGAATAAATTACGCTGCACGTAGAGTTACGTCAGGTGTCCGGACAGAAATTGTGCTGCACGTAGAGTTACGTCAGGTGTCCGGACAGAAAATACGCACGTCTCGCTAGTTCTTCTGGTTGGCTCAATAACATTCATTTTCTTATCATTTTCTTTGAATCTGGTGCACTAATGTATATGGTTTTTTGCAAGAAGGAGATGAAAATTTTGATAAAGATAAGCTTATATATGACTTTACTTTCCAACGGATGCAAAAGAAACAAAACGATACACCACATTTTTCTCCTTTTCTTTCTTTTGAAGCTGGTGTTGATGAATGCGTTTGAAAACTGAAAAACAACTTCACTCCACTAAGGGTCTGTTTGGGGTTGTTATAACTGTCTGAAGGATTTAGGATTTAGGGTTTAGGGTTTAGGATTTTATACTG